AGATATTTGAGTGTCTTAACGATGTCAGAAATTAACGTTCTTAGGCTCATTAGATTCATCTTATCAAGACTCTCTATTCGACTATAAACTTGTCATATTTGACATTCGCTTGGCCTTTCAAATGTGCCCAGATATCTTCTAAAAATAATTTAATGGCTTGATTTGACTTAAATTAAACCAATTTTGTTATCATTGAGTTCATCTTATCGACTTGGTTAATTTGACAACCAGTTTGTTGAAATTAGAGCTTTACATCAATTTTAAGCATTTTTTGCTTAAAAGGTTGTCTCAAAATCCATGTCATACATCTAAATTTATGTCTGATGATAAAAATTTATTAGTAAAATATCAATATCATTTATATTTGACAAAAACAAATCAATAATAATAATAATAATAATAATAAATGCCAGCGCATCTCACCTAAAAAGAGCTTATTTTTTCACAAATTTAAGACATTAATAATGTATTGAAATTCAAGCAGACCCTCGAACGTTATTCAAACTAGGGCTGTCAATTTGGCTCGTTGTTCGCGAATAGCTTGTGTTCGGCTTGTTAAGTAGCTCGCGTTCGGCTCGTTCGTTAAGCATAAAGAGCCGAACCCGAACCTATTTTTAAGCTCGAAATGCAAACGAGCCGAACACGAACAAAAGTTTGTTCGCTCATGTTCGGCTCGAATTGGCTCGAAAATAAATAAATAAATATATATACATAATAAATATTCATAAAATTAAATATTATAAATTATAATTAATTTAATTTTTCTAACTAAATATATTATCACATTTTATTAAATCAAATCCTATAAATTATAATATATAATAATTTATTACTAATAATATTTCAATTTTTAGTATATTAATAAAACAGTGTTAAAAAAATTAAATAAATAAAATATTTTAAAATATATATACCCCTCGAAACTTCTCTCGTTCTTTCGGCGCCCTCTCCCTTTCCCTCTTCCGAGTTGCAACTATACTCCTCCGACGGCCGCGACAGTTTAGGGCTTGTCGTCTATGCTCTTTCTCATCTTCTCCTTCTCGGCACTGTTGGCTCGATTGATCGGTATTATTGTTTGTTTGCTCGATAGTCTTGCACGTCTGTTGTTTTTTTTTGTTCGATAGTCTTGCACGGCTGCTTGTTTGGAGACCTAGGTGTTATCTTTGAGTATATTTTCAGTAATATTTCATATTTATCTTCAGGTATGCCTCTTGTCTTAAACTTTCTTAAATTTCTTTTAGATTTATTTTAGATTTTTTAGTGATCTTAGGGCTTGTAGAAGATTTATTTAGATTTAGTGGTTTTTTCATTATAATGTTAGATTTATTTAGATTTTCATTATAAAATTAAGGCTTTTGGATTAAGTGAGGTCAATACATTTAGATTTATCTGTATGTAAATCTGATTTAGTGGTTTCTTCGTTATAGTGTTTAGATGTATATTTAGTTCCTACATGATATTCCTTAAAGGGTTTTGATGGAATCACCAGTTGAGTTGGCTAATATTTAGTACCTACTTTCTTTTTTTATGCATTATATTCTGCTACTGTTGTACGCTTTAGTGATTCAGTATGCTAATCTTTGGTATGCATGAGGAATGAGATGCCATTCTTCGATTAGAAATGGTTGTTCTGGACATGTGATACATAACAAATGACTGGTATGTGTGTAAATTTGCAAAAAAATAGAATATTTGTGGCCGCAGAATTAAAAGGAAAATATGTGATATTGTGTTGAAAATATGTTAGGAAAGTTTACATATTCGGTGGTGGTTCTGCTATTGCTTCAAGATCAAAATTTTTTTTGTAAAGAATATTATGCTTCTTTCCTTTAGCTTTTCAAAACAATAACATTTGTTTTCCAAGTGGTATGGAAGATGAATACTTGAGTTTATAAGCAAGAAAACGAATGCTAAATTCTTGCTTATCAATTTTATAAATACTTGAGTTCAAGTTATGTTTATAGTTTTGCCTGGAATTCAAATTCTGTAAATACTTGAGCAAGAAATGTTTATAGTTCTGCCTTGAGTTCAAGTTCTTATGTTTATAGTTCTGCCTTGAGTTCAAGTTCTGTAAATACTTGAGTTCAAGTTATGTTTATAGTTCTGCCTTCGGCTAGAAATGGTTTCAAGTTCTTATGTTTATAGTTCTGCCTTGAGTTCAAGTTCTGTAAATACTTGAGTTCAAGTTATGTTTATAGTTCTGCCTTCGGCTAGAAATGGTTGTTCTAGACATGTGATACATAACAAATGATTGGTATGTGTGTAGATCACCTTGAGTTCAAGTTCTGTAAATACTTGAGCAAGTTACGTATATAAATACTTGAGTTCAATTTTATGAATACTTGAGTTCCAGTTATCTAATCTTTACTTCTCCTTCTTGGCATTGTTGGCTGCTGTTGAAATCAGGGCTTTTGGATTAAGTGAGGTCAACACATTTAGACTTATGTGTATGCATTACTTCTCCTTCTTGGCACTATTACTTTCTTTATCTTATGCATTATGTTCTGCTACTGTTATAGGCTTTAGTGAGTCAGTATGCTAATCTTGGGTATGCATGAGGAATTAGCTGCCATTCTTTGACTATAATTAGGTTTGATGCATTATGGAAGTGGTTCTTTTCGGTGTCCCATTAGATGATTATTCTTACTCTTAATTTTGGAAGGCAACAATTTTGGAAGAACACAAGTTTGCAACCATTTTATGAGAAGAATATGAAAAAATGTTGTAAATGATTATTCTTACTCTTAATTTTGGATGACAACACAAGTTTGCAACCATTTTAAGATAAGAGGAATATTTCATTCAAGGCTCTGTTATCTCTGATTATGTCGTCTCTGAATATAAAATTTGCAACATTTTTGTAAATGATTTTGTCGTTTCTGTTATCTCTTCTAATGCATTAATCAGAGGAAGTCGAGGAAACTTTTTAGATTCTGGCAGTTGTAATATTCAGGTCTCTGTTTCATTTTGAGCTGCAGAAAATGAGCTCAAAGTGCAGCCAACACTTAATATTGAGGTCATCCTTGCACTCTGATGAGCAAAGTAAATATAAAGATTAGTTCCCTTTCATTCCAATAACAATTTGCACTATTAATTAGTGGTAATATGTCTGGCTATAGCCTATAAGGTTGGTAATTCATCAACAGGTGAGGTGATTTTTAGTTCCCTTTGATAAACGTCACATTTGTTTACCTGTTTTTGATAGCTTGTCCATAGTGCAACCAACACTTAATATTCAGGTCATCCTTGCTTGGAAGAAATTATCTTTCATTTTGAGCTGCAGAAAATGAGCTCAAAGTGCAGCCAACACTTAATATTCAGGTCTTAATATTCAGGTCATCCTTGATATTGAGGTCATCCTTGCACTCTGATGAGCAAAGTAAATATAAAGATTAGTTCCCTTTCATTCCAATAACAATTTGCACTATTAATTAGTGGTAATATGTCTGGCTATAGCCTATAAGGTTGGTAATTCATCAACAGGTGAGGTGATTTTTAGTTCCCTTTGATAAACGTCACATTTGTTTACCTGTTTTTGATAGCTTGTCCATAGTGCAACCAACACTTAATATTCAGGTCATCCTTGCTTGGAAGAAATTATCTTTCATTTTGAGCTGCAGAAAATGAGCTCAAAGTGCAGCCAACACTTAATATTCAGGTCATCCTTGCACTCTGATGAGCAAAGTAAATATAGAGATTAGTTCCCTTTAATTCCAATAACAATTTGCACTATTAATTAGTGGTAATATGCAGGGCTATAGCCTATATGGTTGGTAATCCATCAACATGTGAGGTGATTGATTTTAATGCTCGAGTACCATTTGCCTTTGGAATGGGATTAATTTCAGAAGAACTATATCAGGTCATATCTTATTTACTCTCATCTCTTTGGCAAGAAAGCCATGAGATTTCATTCCATTTGAGTTCAAAATTTGTAGTAATATGGAATGCTAGCAGATTACAGTAGTAAGAAATTGCATATATGTACATAAGCTTCTGAAACTTGATTGCGTTTCAGGGAATTGGTGAGAATTGCACAGGTGAAGACTACAAAAGTCCGAAGAATGTTGTATGTGCTTCACTTACTTAGCAGAGAACTTAACTCTTCAAAGAAAATTGGCAAACCTGTTCTAATCTGGAGCCAAATTGACAACCCTACTCAAGATGAATCCCAATTTGAAGAGACTGCCGAGTGCCGATTGGAGGAAATTGTGAAGAAACTTGATAATGTTTTTGTAAATTTGTAAAATTAGTACATAAATTTTTATTTTGTAAAATTTTTTAAAAAAGGAATTAATATTCTTTGTGTAAAGTTTTGTAAATTTGTATTGAAGTTTTTGTAAAAGGTTGTATTTTGTAAATTTTCACATTTTGTTTAATTTGTAAATTGTAAAATTTGTAATGAAGTTTGTATTTTGTAAAATTGGGTTAAAAAATGAATAAATATTCTTTCAAAAAAATTTGGTTTGCAAATTTTTTCTTGAAATTTATTCTTCAAATTTGTTTGGAATTAAGTTGTTAGTACAAACAATTTTTTTTAACAATTTATGATTTTTTTTTTTAAAAAAAATAAATTTTTATAATAATTTTATATTATAACGAGCCAATTTCGAGCTGAACACGAGCCGAACACGAACATACTGTTCACGAGCTATTTCGAACACGAGCCAATTTCGAACGAGCCGAACACGAGACCAGCCTGAG